CGCTATATTTTGTCAAAGGGTGAGTTCACCACACTGTTGATCGGCCGCTCCTGGTCAAACTGTTAAGCCGCTTGCCGGGAGTTTGCGGGATCAAGACGGCCTCGATTTTCGTGAGATTCGCACTGCTCACGATTCCCAAAGAGTATGTACAGTGATTCTCGGCTTTGCAGCACAAATTGGCTTCGCTGAAGGAACGAACTCTCCAACAAGAACTGGGCATATTTTCTATTAGGAAGCTCGTGTCCATTGAATCTAATTGGACTCCAGTCCCATTTGTCCCACGAAGTCTTGGCCACAATTCGTGCGTTGAAACTAGTGCATAAGACTTGTCTCCACCAGTGTATAAGATTTTCTCTTTGGTTTCGATAGCGCTGTTCACACTGTAATTGAAGGTTTGTAGGTCATCATCAAATCACGTTGTTACATCCTCGCAATCATTTTAGAAATATTTTTGATGTACGGCAGTGTAATTTCTTTGCCTTGTCTTTGGATCGTCACGTTGGTTGAGCTGAAGCTTTTCAGGGATGTCCAGATGTTGAATATTTCAGAATCCGAGTTCCGCCTTTCCATCACCCACAAGAGAAATGGGGATTGAGCCTTCAGTTGTTGTTTTTTAGAGGAATGTAGAAAAAGGACACCCTCAATTCAGAGAATACACTCCATGAAGAAATTATTGGAGCACCTATGTTTCCTACCATAACTCAACTAGCAAATGATGGAATACGAGCAGCATCAGAAACCCTACCTATAAGTTGAAGGAGGAGGTTTTGAGGGGACCGACGTAAGATCAACTAAGTGGGGAATGGATGCAGGAAAAGTGTGACAGTGCAATCGGTATTGATGATGCACTCTGGGTAGGAAATCCCCATGAATCGATCTTCAGTACTTTTAAGGAGTGACTGGATGATATTTTGACAGCATAAAGGTCACCTACTCTGTTTTCGAGTCAAAAACTATGGCAGTTATGTACTAGTTCCGGAGTTGAGATTAGAAAGCATGTTGTCAATTTAGATACACAGAAGAAACTGGCTATTGATAGATTTGGGTAAAAACTACCGTATAACATTGTCCCAACCTTCCACCAACTTGTGGTAATGCGAGACAACAATAATCGTTTCAATCTCCGCATGTAGCCTCCAGCATTGCCGTTTCGGTCTTTGCATGAGCTAAGATTCTATGTGCCACATTCTCATGCATCTGGTCTGTTCACAAGCATTTTCAGTTCACCATCAGTGAAGGCAAGGATTTCGTGCGAAATTCAAGTGAAGGAAAACTTGGTCAAAAATAAATAGAAAGAAACACGAGCCCGCTTGATTTTTTTTTATTTTCTCGACTACAGAACAGCAGCTATTCATGTTGTTTGAACGTACCGGCTGGACGCGCTTACACTTTCCCATAAGTTGATACGTTTTTCATTTAGTCTAGTCACACCTCGTAAAGTGGAAGAACTGGCAGCATTGCTCGATGCGGATTGGGAGTTATTATCACCAGGCGTTACCGCTGATAGGCACCAGGACGGAGAACTTAACAAAACAGAAAGCATCACGCTTTCATCATTGGTGTGTAATAAATTCAAGCCAATTAAAAACCTGTGGACATAATAAATCGTCGAGTGTACAGAGAAACGAAATACTGTGACTCGAAAACAGATTTGGTGACTGTCCTAGAGAGTAATTGGATAGGTATCGGTCACCTAAGTGCTCCATAAAAGTACCGTGAGCCAATTTCCACAGGTCTTCCGATAACATGATTGGAGTACACCACCGAATGCTCTCCCGGTTGGACGGCACACTTGGTCTGTTCCTTAATCGCGTAGTATTCCTCATCCATGTTGTGCGCGTTCTTCATAAACTTCTCAAAGCCTACTCCTAATTCTAATGGTACGCCTCGCTTGTCGATCAAATACCGTTGTATTCCATCCACTAGCAATGCAGTTGAAGGGAAAAAGCATTAATCGGCTCATAGATTTGTCGAAAAGCTTACTACCAACTGGTTGTCAGAGCTCAAACAGCTCAAAGGAAATTCTATCTAATGGCCCGTTTAGTAGACTACAGATTTTCAGTGGCATCTACATATGCGACGCCAATTCCAAAACCTGGGCAGTAATCTAAGTAGTAACTCAAGCCTATAAAGCACGAACCACAAAAGGCAGTCGGAATGATTCATTTTATTCGCAGTTTAGTTGAATGAAAATGCTTCCATATGTGGGAAAGCATGTGATCAAGTTGTCACAGAACATTCCAAATCTTCGAGAGAAAGAATCAGCACGTCACCTATGAAAAGACCTACGTCAACATAAGAACAGTTGCAATTGAACACACTCAAAATCAAGTTACTTCACGCCAACGCTATGAAATGTGCCCAAGAAATGTAGAATGGTGACAGTTATCGCCTAAACTGAAACACCTCCGTCGCAGCATGTGACGGTCATCGATACTGATGAGTCCGGCGAATCTAATGCAGGATTAAGGTGGCAACCTTGATTCAGTAATGATGGTCACCTTGGCAACCAAGACCAAACATGTCCATGTCATAAGAAAAACGGGAAGAAGGGACCAATCGCCTCATGAAATGCGAAAGCCTATAGTTTTCTGAAGAACAAATGAGAAACGGTAATAATACAAGTGGAATAAACATACAGAAGCCGATACGGTAAATTGCTACATGAACAACTGTGTACACCTATCAAATGAACTCAGTACCGGACGGTTCATCGATGTATAAACAATATAATTTACTTGAAGAAAGCACCAAAAACAGAAGCACTAAAGAGAAAAAAGAATCAGTTCCGCGTTCATTACTCATCTTGAAGTATTTATACTTCAAAATTGTGCTTTCATAACGCAAAAGCACTGAGTGAAATGTCAGAACTCCCCTCTTGCTACTAGGTCAAGGTAACGTTATCACCAACTGCAGAGATCCCGATCTTGGGATTGAACAAGCTAACATTATCTCACCCCCGTGCCTCCTTCGATTTGCACGTCAGCTATGCACCAGAAGGGTGCCACGGTAGACCACTACTAGTTTATTTAGCACTGGAATGTAGAATGTAAAAATCCCTTTTAATCAAAGTCTCCAAATATAACCGCATTCAGTAGGAACAAATGACTCTAGCCAAGTTTTCGTTCAGTAACTCTCTACGCGACAGCTTCTATACACTCAGAACTTGTTGACTCGATTGATTGGTACATTGAATGCGGTTTTCCTTCCAAGGAACAATGACGAATGTGGATTGCGAATTTGAGCGGTTTTTTCACACACCATGTGAGCATCCGAACAACAGCTCTGAATAGTTTGCGGTCATTCGGAGTCAGTTACCTCTCTTGCCAAAAGCCAAAAGAAGTTTTTTACTACGTGTCTTAGATTTTGAATCGTCAGTAATTCGATATGCTCCACCAACAGGACATTAACAGCATAGGCATATGTTGTAATACACAGGCGAACAGAGTTCACCTTTCAATACGAATTTAAGGATGTTGCACACAACCATTCAGTAATCCACTAGTCGTTTCATCTCCTAAGTGTCACTGGTAACTTGCTCATTTATTCAGCAAAACTAACTTGAATTTGTCGCAAGGCTATATCACAGAGTTGTTTAATCACGAAACATTTATTCGGAATTTAACTCCCAATTTGTTTGAAATGGAAATCATCAGTGTGGCAGATGAGAAAAATGGAGCATCTTGGGTGACACTGCAGTAGTTCGTGATCCGGTGAACCGTTGGTTATCCCACTGAACCAATCATAGTGGGGTATTGTGGGCACAAAATACCCACGCCTAAGTTTTTAACACCTTGAGAGAAAAAAATCAGCAAGCTTAGCAGGGAGATATTTTTCGTAACGGTTGACGTTTGGAAATTGAGGAACAGGCGCTTGAAAACAAGGTCATCTCCAGCATGGGTTGATAGAACAGCAGGGAGCGAAATGATAGGTAAAACAAAACAGGCTGAAATTCACCGACGCAAAACTTTGCCAACGTTTGGCGCTTTGTGTATATTGAAGCCTGAGAAACCTAAATCGAATGCTGCTGAATGCTAGATGACTAGAAGTAAACCCTAATCATTCACGAAGAAGTAATCCCATCAAGTGTCATAAAGGAAGTAAAGAGAAAGGAGGCCAGGAAGTTGCAAAAGGTAACTTCAACAGAAGTCACCTGTAATTCTATCGTGGATGTGGATATTAACTAATTTTTGGTCATTGTAAAAAAAGCTCGTACGTTGCTGATGTAGAGCGAAATATTTCCGAAGCCTCTATACTGTATCGTCGCCACTCAACCGTGAGCTAGCCTCAGATACCGTCAACTTCACCGTTCAATGGTCTTCCAAAGGCCAAATAATTCCTCACAAACCCGACTTTGTGTTGACCTTCAGCAATAAAAACAGGTTGTCCGGGGTTCACAGCAGCAACCAAAAAGTAACCTTTAGGCATCTGGTTCTTACCAAATATCAAGTCGCAACAAAAATAGGTTTCAGTGTTTGCGTAAAACAGCCTGATAGCTCGATTTTTACCCGACAGTCGCGCTTATTTCACGAAACGTACCTCAAGCCCTGTGTTTTCGTATGAATTAAAATGGTTATCACAAAACCATTCGGGTAGAACAGCAAATTCATCCCTCAGTTCTTAGTTTGTTCAAATGTCTACTTTTTCCAGCATGCTCAAGACCTTCAACCTGAAACGGTCAGAATCGGAGAATCACGGAAACAGAGAGACGTGCCATGAGAATTCATCTGTGAACTTCAAGGCAGCTTGACGAAAGACCACAAGAGTGCTATTGATGAGCTCCAAGAAATTCACACATCTCAGCTCCCTTACGAATTCAACGAAAACAAGATGAACACCTCAATGCACACAAAATAGACTGTCTTATTCGTAAACCCGAAAACATCTATCAGTCCCATGGTCCTATTAGGGAAACCTGTTCAGAAGCACAAATCTTGATAGAATTAGAGCAAATATAATCGCGATAATGTTTTCATAAACCGTTAGAGACATAGACTCACTTGGAAATGTTTGGACAGATCTGTCACATGTTTGAATAACGATCGATCGAAGAAGACGTGTTCGTGAAATCCAAGGTCGATAATTCCCCATAGCCTATTGATGCAGAATATACATCCTCTTTGTGCGAGAAGTACACCGTTTTCTCCGACATTCGCATTCCTTGTGACGATGACCAGATTAATGTTCTTCGATGAGTGCATCCGGACCTTTTGAGAGGCTTCATCGTATAAGAAAACCTTGCTGTACTTTTTAATGAATTCCTTGAGTTCGATTTGCGTCCAGCCGATGGTTCCGTGAACACATTTAGGTGCGCTGGAGAGCCTAGATAGCAACGAACCCATCAGCAACTCATGCTCTGAACTTGATTCAACTGAATCCCGTAACCACAGCAACGCCTTACATTCTTCTATACTCAGTACTATCGTATCCGTCTCAGAACTAGGTTGTTTCGGTCCGGTGCTACTGTCCGCCGTGGTTTGGAAATAAACTGGTAACTGGACTCGATCGAAAGAACTTCGACGACGTGGGTCCTCCATGCCCTGAAATGAAACCGGTCGCGGCTTTTTCTTATTATTTGGTGTTGGTAAACAGGCAGAAAAGCTGTTTCGAATATTGTCACTGAGTCCAACCAGGTCCCCTTGCACGCGAAAGAATAATGAGTGTCGAAGTAGAAAACTGACGAATTCCGACTGCGGACCAACGACCATGCGAATTGAGGGCGAAGCCTGTGATAAGTGACCAGCTAAACGTTTGATGGGAACCCATCGTTCTGGTTTCCTCAGGAGATGCTCCTGAAAATACTTCACGGCTTGCACTTCTGGCTCCATTTCTGAGCCCATCGTATGTCCGGAATCAATGGCGCCTTCTGGATGAATAAACTCACCGGATGAAGGTTTTTTGGAATGTGAAAGAGCAGGTACGCTATCAGACGTTCCTAAAGGTATGTCAGAAGAATACACGTATCCATCGACAATCCGAAAAAGTGCAGACTGACGTCTGATGAATTGCTCCAAAGACTCAGGAGTGGAACCGACAATAGAGAGTACGTCGGAACACTGATGAAATTTAGCTAGCAGAAAGGCCCAAAGGTCTTCTAACCGCAGGCATCCACTGCACTGGATTAGGTATTCAAGAATTGCGAGGGAGCACACCTCGGACATGTGGGGTAAGAGCGTGCGTGGAAGGATAGGCAACCAGCGACTAACACAATCGTTACCCTGCCAGTGCAGGTAAGTTAACTCTGAAATGAAGGAAAGACAATAAGATTGAATTGGTGGCTCAAGTGAGGTCGATTTTCCTGACACTTGCTCGGCTTCACGAAAACCATCCACTTCCGTTGATTATTTAGCAATCCGATTAAGCATAACTCAAAGGAGTAAGGCGTAAAAGAACAAATGTCACTCCTGACACTAGTTTAGAATACCGTCATCTGGCAGGGCACTGAAATCGTGATTTAGAAAGCAATTATGTCAAGCCGAAACACTTCCAACCACTGCAGTGTGGTCAACCCAGTGATACCAGAACGGCAGTAAACCACACTTTGGTCACCGTCAACAACAGTAATAGTACAGTATTAATGTACACCGATGCTTCCGTGCCTCCAACAATTATTTGAAGGCTTTATTGCGGATAATAAAAAGAAGCAGAAGCGGCCTGTTGCTTACCTACTTCATGGTACATACATCTCCACTCGTATTGATAATCAGGGTAGGTGACAAGACGCTGTCGACACCAGTCACCTCTTGCAACATATCCAGCTGACAACAGGGATGACGGTAAAAGAGGTAGCATCGAAAGTACCCCAGCTTTACGGAGGAGCTTTTATACTATCTTGTCACGAAGTGTTCACCACTTTTCCACCTTAAGGTGGGCACTTGGAACGGTACACTTTTCGACATAGGCAACTCAGCATAGGCAACATATTATCGCGCAGCGCTTAACATCTATCTTCTGGGCGTCTAACTGAGAATTTGCTGTATCAATTGACGCGAGCCATAAGCCTGAGAAAAAGGTTCACAAAGACCTGAAAACGTCCCAGTGGCGCCGCTCGCACGTGCAAAGTTCCACAGCAATTCAACAATGGTCTGATATACACTTTCTCTGAGATTCGGATACAGGCTACTTTGCGGCCACAGATACCTCAAGCAGGTAAACGTGCGTTTTGTGCTCCCTCAAAGACGATAACAATGTTGTTTGAAATTTCCAGGTGGAAAACGTTTCAACCGTCAGCTAGTTAAACACTGGTCGGTCCCATGCTCCTGACGATCAGGAAAAGAGAATCGGTTTCTTGTCGAAAGGCTTTTGGGGATCGTCTTATATACATATGATTGCTATTATCAGCTGAAACCATAAGCACATGATGGGGCGACTCTAGTTTCGTCCTTCGGAAGTAAAAGTGGGTATTGTTATCATAATCTACAACATGACATCAGTGTTCAACAGTGATGCTTCGTTGCCATATGACCATTTATCCAAAACCAGAGATTCAGGTGAGTCCCTCGATAACACCAGAATTTGTGAATGAGCGTATTTCGCCATCTGGATAGCTGCCCACCGAAGGCAAAAATGTGTCCTTGGCTAGCTAATCCAAAGCTGATAACTTGCTTTTCATTGGTGTGGAGGTCACGAGGGCTACGTACTAACGTACGAACGGTTTGAGTGGACTGCAACATTGGGTGCGCGATTGGGTCACAGTCACCAGTTTTCTAGCCACTGATGTGATCTCACACAGGTATCCTCCAAGGAAGACGGCGGTAACCAGAGCGGCTGAGCTTGATGGCATTGGCTTCCATACTTCGCTGCTGAGGTTCTACTTGACCTTCCTCGTTCTTCTCCGCTTTCCGCATGGATGTTCGAAGAGAAGTCTCCAAAGAATAACGTGAATAAGCCAGCGCAACTCACGAAAATTCACCAACTCATCTATCTTGTGCAAGTTATATCCATGAAAATATCAGGAAATATTATTCTGATGTCCTAACCTGACATGGACAGTGCTCTGAAGGCACCTCTGGTCAAACACCGAGTTTTAAACGTCATCAGATAGCAGAGATCAGGCATCCAACCCATATAACAGTATCCTACCTCCAACAGACAAGAGGTCATGTCTATAGTACATATTGCGGTTGACTAAAGCTGTCCTCCCCTTCCTATACAAGCCGTTATACCACCCACACATACAACACTAGGACCGATGCAACTACCCACGTAATCGTCATCATCATCATAAAAAGCAACTTGAGCGTTAACACTGATGCTTCACTGCCGCACGACTAAAAGGTTTGCGTAGTTATATTTAAAGCCTTAACCGGAAAAAGGTTAAGAACGTATGATGGATGGACCTGTTCTAGCTCAAGCATTTTATATCTACACTTTCAAGCGATCAGTCGAAAAACCTAGAAAGAAAATGACAAGACGAATGCCATTAACATCGATTATCTGTCATTCCTACAGCCATTCCTACAGTCATTCCTACAGCCAGTCATTTCTACAGCCAAGCACACCGGATCATGGAAAGACATAATGGAGGACGGACAGTATCAAAAAGACCTAAATCATAAGTAACCTATTTCACACCCTTCTGCCAAGTCACAGATTATCCATCTCACAGGTAAACAGATTCGCCTACCGCCTTAATCTGTTCATCTGCATGTTGAGGATATCAATATCCCCCCAAAAACGCTGTATTTTTATGTGTGCTAGCGAACTTCCGGCATCTTCAAGGTCAAACTATGAATAAATCAATGGCTTATTGATATTCCAAGAAATTTAAATCTGACCACTTACACGATTACCATCTTTTTACTGACTTGGGTTCGGAAGCTCGGGGCATCGCCTGTTGATCGCGTGTTGTTGGATCAGTAAAGTTTGTGTCCGAGGTTTTTCGTCTTCTTACTATTCGCCTTGCTAGGAGTCTGGATCAAGCAACATAGCTGGGGATAGAGTATTGCCACAATCCGCATATCATATTGTTCGCTCGCTGCGTGACCGAACCGTAACATATTTGGCGACGCAAGATGGGGGCAGAACAACTCAAAGTAATGTTTGAGCAACAAATGCAACTCATCAAAGTACTTACGGAGCGACTATCAGCTACATTTTTGGCTTCCCGGGCGGCGTCGAGCGTCCCACAGTCGGTAGATGGAATCGCTGGCAGTATCAACGAATTTTGCTATGAACCCTCAGCTGGCATAACGTTTGATGCTTGGTTTCGTCGCTATGAAGACCTGTTCAGGGTCGATTTTTCACTTCAAGATGATAGTTGGAAGGTTCGCCTTCTGCTCCGCAAACTTGGACCCGCAGAGCATGATAAGTACGCTAACTATATTCTGCCAAAGAACCCCCGCGATTTCACTTTTGATCAAACGGTCCACACGCTTTCACAAATATTCGGTGATCAAACGTCACTTTTCAACATTCGTTATCGATGCATGAAGCTAGTGAAGAGTGATCCAGACGACTTCCTCACATATTCTGGCATCGTGAACCGGGAATGCGAACGGTTCAAACTCGGATCGTTAACGGAAGATCAGTTCAAGTCGCTGATTTTCATATGTGGTCTACAATCCCCGAAGGATGCAGAAATCCGTACCCGACTCCTCAGCCGCATCGAGCAGGACCCATCCATGACGCTGCAGGCCGTCACCTCGGAGTGTCAACGGTTGCTTAACCTGAAGCATGACACCGCGATGGTCCAACTCGGGGGTCATGGCGGTTCCGAGGTTCATGCAATACACCAGGATACGCAACAGCCTGGCCCTGTCAATTCTGGCCCAACCAAATCGACCTCGCAGTGTTCTGGTCCGAAGCAAAACAAAGGCTCAAAGAAGACACCACCTTCACAATGTTGGCACTGTGGAGCCTGGCACTTCGTCAGGTTCTGTCCTTACAAGAAGCATCGGTGCCGCCAATGTAAGTCCGTGGGACACAAAGATGGATATTGTCAGTCACTGATGCATACGGCCTCTGCTGTTTCAAAGCAATCATCACGCATCCGTCCCAAACCGAAATCGAACCCTGTTGGCTCCTCTCTCAGTTTGCTGGCTACTTTCCAGATCAACACGCCAGGTAACCGGAAGTATCTGACAGTCACCGTAAATGGTCATCCAATCCGTCTGCAGTTGGACACTGCGTCGGACATTACCATCATTTCGGAGAGGCTTTGGCGCACGCTCGGGCAACCTCCGATCAGACAAGCAGCTCGAACTGCAACCAGTGCCTGCGGTGGAGAGTTAAAACTTTCCGGTGAGCTCCAGTGCTGTGTATCTTTTCGAGGAACTACATTTGTGGGGTCGTGTTATATAACGGCAACTGAGTTGAACCTATTGGGTCTTGATTGGTTCGATCGCCTTGGGTTAGCCGACATTCCAATCAGCGCCGTTTGCAATGCAGTTCAGTCTCCTACAGCGCATCCAGATCATGCATCCGACATTATGGAGCGATTTCCAATTGTTTTCCAGTCCGGTCTCGGTCAGTGCACTGCGACACAAGCAGTCCTCCACCTCGTGCCGGGAGCTACGCCAGTCTTCCGTCCAAAGAGACCAGTTCCGTACGCTTCCCTCCCACTGGTAGATGCCGAACTTCAACGGTTGGAAGAACAAGGCGTTCTGTCCCCTGTATCCTACTCTGCCTGGGCAGCGCCGATCGTTGTAGTAAAGAAACCTAACGGTGGCATCCGCATATGCGCCGATTTCTCAACCGGCCTAAATGCAGCTATCCAGCAGCACCATTATCCACTACCAGTACCCGACGATCTATTCACTGTTCTGAACGGTGGGAAGTTCTTCGCCAAAATCGACCTGGCTGAAGCGTACCTTCAAGTTGAAGTCGCACCAGAATCACGCCCACTACTGACAATCAACACACACCGCGGGCTGTATCAGTACAACCGTCTTCCGTTTGGCGTCAAAACCGCCCCAGCAATTTTCCAGCAATTGATGGACACCATCCTTTCTGGCATTCCAGGTGTGGTCGCATACCTGGACGACGTGCTGATCGTTGCTGTTTCCCCCGAAGAGCTTCGTGAGCGAATCAATGCCGTCTTACTGCGCATTCAGGACAATGGCCTCCGCCTCCGTCCCGAGAAGTGTCAATTCTTCTTGACAACTGTGAAATATCTTGGGTTCATTTTTGACGCCTCTGGTCGCTATCCTGACCCGGAAAACGTTCGAGCTATACAGCAGATGCCACCTCCTAAGGATGTACCATCATTACGTTCCCTTTTGGGGTTAATCAGCTACTATT